AACAACAACAACAACAACAACAACAACAACAACAACAACAACAACAATAATAATGTGTTGTGTATTGTCATTACTGGATGTTCCCATAAAATGGTGAAATTGGCTCTCTGCTTTTAACCCATCCACCACCAGGTGGAGCTGTGGGCAGCTGCAGAAAGCGCTTGGAGAGCATTTGGGGATAAGGTGTACTGCTCAGAGAAGAAGAGCCACAAGAGCAAGAATAAGAACAAGAGGAAGAACAAGAAGGCAAACCAATGACTGCTTTCTGAAAATTTAATTAAGATCCTTCCAGTGTTTCATAAGATATTTTGCTAACAGTACAAACACACGCTTGTGTTTTTTTCTTCTTTGTCTTACACAAATGTTGCTTTTGCTGCTGTTGTTCTGCGTATTGTTTTTGCACTACTAGTGCTTAGCGTATTCTTAGTTCATATCTTAGATCTTATTACTGGTTTTTTAATTTTTATTTTATTTTTTAGTTTATACTTTAGTTGGATGTAACTGGGACCCTGTGTGCACAGTTTCTTTCCACCACATGTACCACATGTGGTGCGAATGACAAAGAAACTTTGACTATTGCTTAAAGTATCGAACTGAGTTTCCGTCTTCAGGGAAGCTGACGTCGTCCCACGACCGACATGAAAACAGACGGATAACACGATCATCAGCTTACGTACTTACATAAAACACAAAACATGTTGCACAAGTTTGAAAAACTTTATTTTCCAAAATCCATCCTTTTTTGCTCTCTAATTTACAGCACTGCGAGGTTTTTATTCCGTTTCCCCATCAGATCATCGACGTGGTTTTCTGCCTTCTGGAGCTGTGGAGCGATACCCTGAATGGACGGTCACTTTCCCTCACCCTGTCACCCCTGAGAAGGCCTGGATCACGTGACTGAAGGACAGCGTCTAAAAGGGACTTAAATTAAATCGGTACCTTGGTCATCGTCACCTACAAGAAGGAGCTCACCCAGTGTTTGTTGTTTGAAATATTTTCTCTTGTACTAAAAAAACTGTTAAAATCATGTGCTTTAGGCAACAATAAAGCTTCTTTTTTTTAATTCCTCTGCAGGCAAACAGAGATTTAAAAACATCATCTACCCTCCTCTACGATTCCTTATGACACAGATAACAACAACAACTCTTGTAAAATCTCTATCATACTCTATTTCTACATATAATCCGATTTTTCTAGATTATTTAAGAAAAAAAATTAGATTTTTGTTTCCACTGAGCAAATAGAGAGAAACAAACAGTGAAGGTTAAAGGCTGGCTGGTTCGCTGAGTTGTGCGATGGGGGTGGGGGTGGGGGGGTCACATTAGTGTGGGGGTGGTGGTGTGTGGGGGGGTCACATTAGTGTGGTGGTGGTGGTGTGTGGGGGGGCTTTACAAACCTTAAAAAGTCCTAAACAGAAATGCACAACGAATGAAAGATGTCGAAGCAGGTACGTGTTGTTCACGACAGATGGCACTGCTGCGTCAAACACAACCACCCCCATCCCGCACGCACACACACACAAACACACACACACACACTGCACAAATGCATATTTGCTTCATCACTGAAATTTAAGCGACTCTGTTTGTGTGGAAGGGAGGGATGACTCGTACGCTCCGAGTCCCTTTTGAGACCTTGCCAAGAGATCGTTTTGGCGTAAGAGAAGGGACGAGTATCAGCAGATATCCTGTGTGGGAGGAAAGGTGGGGGGGTTAGTCGAGCACAAACAGCAAAATGACATTTGATGCTGCTGATGTGATGCCTCTGAATCGCTCGATGTAACAGTGTCTCTGCTCGGTGGAAGGAGGTTCTGCAATGTGACCCGGTACCCAAAGCCCCCCCACCTGGAAACCGGCCATCTTCATGGAGCATCGCAGAGCAGCTTCCCCACAACTTATTATTTCTGACGACTCTTCAAATCAGACTTGGCTGTGTTAGGGGACACACTACATCTTGTTGGAAGTTCAAAGCAGAGAACAGATACGGTCATCGGAACAGCAACGACACAACATAAACGTACAGAACGTACAGAACGTATTGCTAGAAATGTGAGAATCGTCACAACGGGGTCGTTCCCACCTGATTGTTAGTTCTCCGAAGCAAAACTCCCGTCAGAATCGACGTGACAGTTGTAAAACGTACACCTACAGTAAATCAAAAGGAAACAACACCATTTCCATTGCTTTTGTAAGAAAATCAGTTTTAAGGTGCTTTTAATGCGGTTGCCATGGCGCTGTGCTTTGTGGCTCCCCACGCTGTGCGCAGACGCCGCGACAGGATGTCAATCATGTCGCGGCTGAGCAGCCCTCCCGCCCACTGGCATCAGAACTTTCCCATCAAACACTGAGACCCAATCGAGTTTTCATGTTACGCACTGTGCGGGTGATGGGGAGGAGCTCCTCGCTGGCTCGTACAGGGAACGTCGGGGCGATGGCAGCGGTGTGAAAGGGGAGAATCAGCAGTGAGGACTGGAGAGGAAACGACGGCGTTTTGCAGTGAGACATCCATCCATAGCTGCAAAAATGTTTTCATGCTTTGGAAGAGCATAGTCCTCAAGTCGCGTTGCATGACTGATGCACTGGAGCAAGAAATCACCATGAAGACAGATGTGCAAACTGAAAGAAGCTGACAAGCTGTCCTTGTTTTGGACCTCATTCAGTACTTAACTGGCGTTGGGGTGGGGGGTGACTGAGGCTGTGACTTAAAGGTACTCATTGCAAAGTCATGAACGCTCAACAAAACAATTATCTTTTGTTTGGTATTGATAATGTGCTCTTAAATTAGAACAGATGCCGACTATCTCGTGCATTTGTTTATCCACAAAAACAGCCGAAACTGGTCAAGAATGGCGACGTTTATTTAAGAGCTGTTTGAGATCGAGACGGCAGACAATTTAGATGCACTGGTGCGTATTTACGCTCATATTTGATGGGCAAAGTATGCAGTAGGTTAAAACGGTTAGTGGCCTAAAAGTTTGGCAAAACGCAGAGAAGATACTTTAAGGTATTAATGAAGATGTTTAAATTTGACAATTGTCTTACAGTAGTCCCTCAATTATCGCGAGGGTTACGTTCCACACCCCTCCCATGCGATAGGTGAAAAACTGCAAAGTAGGACCACTATATTTATTTTAGTGTTAATATATATTTTAAGGCTTTATAAACCCTTCTCACACTCTTGCATTGTTCTAAACTCTTGAACCTACATAACTGCAGACATGTTCCTGTTATCAGTTTTCTACATTCGCCTTATAATCTAGCTGTTTTTGTTACTTTTCCCATCTTATTTGTAAAAATAAAAAATCTGTATGCCTTTTTATAACTGTTTATTGTTGTCGCTGTTGTCCAAATTAACAGTAATTACAGGTCCGAACCCAAACCCACCCCTCCTGACATTTTTAATTAAGCTTTGACTGCTTGTTATTAACGGTCGGCGGACGCACACAGCTGAGGGGGCAGAAGATCGGAGCTGAGGGGGCGTTTGTCCCCCCCATGGCCGTCAAAGTGCATTAAATCCCTGCTTCTGCTGCATTCTGCATGATTCAGACATGGACCCTGCTCTGACATGCCTGATTTGGGATCTAACCTGTTTGGGTCGTCTGCTGAGTGCAGCTGAATCTTTTCTAAAGGAAAGAACAAAGACGTCTCATTTGTTTGAATGTCTTTCTTTATGTATGGCAAGCCAAGTTGCCATATAATTGGATCGTCAGCCGCGCGTGTCCGCTGACGCAATAAAAAGCTCGACACTGGCCCGGCCTGGCTCCGGGTTCAGGTTAGAAATGACAGCTCTAGCCTAGATTTGCGTTGCAAACGTTTCCCTCCATTTTGGCAGAAAGCAGCGGCTGGAAGCACTGTTGGCTTCTGGGTAATATAGTTCTTTTGACTGGCGATACAGTGTAGGCTCATTGAAAGAAAACTACACAATGGGGGCACCTGTCCAAAGTTTTTATTTGCTAACTTTTTATCCCGTACCGTCTCAATCATGTGAGTAATATTAAAGTTGACAATCGTTGAAAAACCGCGAAACAGCGAGTCTGCAAAAGTTGAACCGTGAAGTAGCGAGGGAACTACTGTCCTCCATCTTTCTCATCTATTTTGCAATAGATCCACTCCTATATTTCCATCTAAGTATCTTCTTCAAGACCCCACGCATGTCTGATTCTGCCACACTGGTTTACCTACAGAGACAGGTAGGTAGATCAAACATGTGACTCAAGCTTCCGTGTGGTTTGCTGCTTACACAGCTGAAAACTTTGTTTACAATGAGTGCAGACCCACATTTCAGAATTGCACATCATCAATACATCCGGAAAACTACTGAAGGTAACGTTTTCAAACCGCAGCTTTTGATACAGTTCAGGATAACCCCTTTGATGTTCGATTTCACACTGTGCAATGAGTACTTTTAAAGAGAAAGACAAACGCTAAGGACACCCAGCTCAGGCCTGGATGTGCAGAATGGTAAGTTTATCATAAAAAGACCCATATCAAGGAGTCACTTTCCTCCGTTAGAGGCATAAAGTTAAGACATAGAAATAGTTCTAGAAGTTGTTCACTAATTGTGATATCCACAATACCATGCACAACATTGTTTAAGCTGAAAACACTGATCAGAGAGACTGGCTTGCGCAGCCATACGTGTATGGCTTGAGTTCAGCTGCGTTAAAGACTTACAATGACTTTTCATCATACCTCCGAACATTTAAGTTAAAAGAGCATCAAGTAAAGGGACCTTTTTTGTGGAAACCACACTAAACATACATCTAGACTTGTCTATATTGGTTCTCTAATAAATTACACAATAATATATATATATTTATAATTTAAACCATGTTGACCCATAAAATGGCTATAAAATCGGCCTCTTTGTGCCAGTCACTGTCTGCAGGCCTGTCCTGCTCCTGAGGTCAGTATAGGAGGAGCAGAGAGAAGGCATGATGAGGGATCTTGGCCTTTTTGTTAAGAAGAGCTCTCAGGTGGTCAGTACCATTGGTGCACTCTTCCCATTTTAAGTCAAGTGGGCTGCATAGTTTGCTTGTGACCTTCGCCGTTTGTGTCACATCAAAGGAGGGCCTTGGGTTTGGTAAAGGGATATGTTTGGAGCTTAACTGGGAGGGTTGGTTAAGCCCTTAGTAGGGGGAGAAGATGATGGGAGTGTGCATGGCCCGCAGTGGCCCCGGGGCAGGCCGGAACAATGCGGGGCCAAGGAATGGGGTCTGGATGAAGGTGGTGGTGCCCACAGGATGGCGCAGAGCAAACGGGTTAGTTGCCATTGTGCACAGAGTTGGCGGGGTGAAGGGACTTGGCAGGAAGCCACTTGTCAAACTCTTGGTCAGCTGCTTCTGCAAGGCCAGTTTGGTCTGGAGGAGACAGGAAGGGGTGCAACGGTAAGAAGCAAGAGAAGAACACACACGGCCCTTTACCTGGACACGTTGCTTCAGCGGAGCAATATGCAAAACACCTCAGAGCAAATTACATTTTGTTCCTTTCAGTTGAAAATGAGCAAAATACTAATTTGCCCGCAGGTGTCCAAACTTGCATAATACTGCACTTTGTAGACAGTCTACAGCATGAACACAACCATTTTCATCATTAAGCTGCAGGAGGTCCCTCTGAAGCTGTCCACGGTTAAAAAGGATACTTAGGACCTTTTTAACCAACGATGAAATGCTTTACACTCTGGTCATGAAATAGAGGAATGAACATTAGTTTAGATGATAAATTAATTACCCTAACTATTCAATTATCATCCATCATGAGCTTAAAGGGATAGAGCAGTGAGTCTAATTGTTATCAGTGGTACCTTATAAATCAGGACATCAGTCAAAGAGCATGGAATATGGAGAAAAAGGTAAAAGTATGTTCAGGCTAAGCTAATGGCTAGCCAAACAAAGACCCTTTGTTAGACTAAATGACTTTACCTAAAACAAATACTGGTGTAAAAATGAAAGCTACATTTGCTAACATTAAATCTCTCCACATTTGAAAGACATTTGTTTGGTTTGTCACTGTTGTCTCAACCAAACCATGTCCGTGTTTAACTCAAACGTGTTGAGCAGCTGAGCACAGATCCACTGTGTTTTTGCTGATGACTGCCGAGTTCATCAGTCCGCCGGGAGTTGAGTAAACCTGACTGGACACGGACTGATCAGGTGGACAGATGGACTCGCAGCCTCAGCGTCCTCGTCAGAAACACGCTTCGTCTGTGCCGCGCACATACACGGAGAGTAACACACGGATTTCTTCGATGGAAAAAACTGTGACAAACTGAACAGTGTCGTGCAAAAATAGAGGGGTTTCGTATTGGCTAATGTAGTTTTCTTTTGGTATGTCACTTTTAAGAAACATTTGTTTTATGAGTGTGATAAAAGATCAAACACGGGTCATTAGCCGAGCCTGGACAGACTAATGCCTCTCTTTTTATACTTGTTCTAGTCATGGTGATGTCACAGCTGATAAGATACTAAGAATAACAGTTTGACAACTTCAAAAATGACCAAACCGATCATGTAAAAGTTGTTTATTTTCCTTTCATGGATAAGGAATAATAATAATAAAGAAACATTTAGCATGCACAAACAACAAGCTGCTGTCTCTTGTGGCATTTGAAACTAAATCAATATCAACACTCCTGGCATTAACACAAGTTAACAGATTAATTGAACCCAGGCTTATGTCAGCTGACAGCTCAAAATAACATAAAATAAATAAATGGGAGTTTTAAAGATGCTTCCATAGGTCTACTTTAGTGTTTTTCCTCCGGAAGCCACTTACCAACCCACCTCCATCTCAGCTCCTCCCTTTCTCAATGTGTCCAATTGGCCTGTCGCAATAAACAATAAATCAATTAATCGCATGATAAATGAAAATTATCAACCTCATTTTCATTTATCGGCTTTATCGTTTCATCGTGTCTCTCTTTCTACTACTAAGCTCAGAAGCTAAGCTACGAGCTAAGCTAACAGGCCGACCTCGGGAGGAAAAAACCTCCGTCTTGTCGAAGCTCCAAAATTCACGGTTGAAATCCGTGCCAAGCTGAGAACTTGTTTACTGATTTTTTTATTAAAATCTTTGTGTGAAACATGCTAAAGAGCTCAAACCACACCGAGCGTCCGCCATTTTGAGAACCAAAGAGAGACAGCTCATGTCACGTCAAGGGACCTCCCTCCCATTTTTCTTAAAGAGACACGCTGCTCGCTCCCTCACTATCCATCCTTCGGTTCAAACAGTCTTATACTGCCATCTTGTGGTCTAAAAAGGTACTACATGCAAAACAAATTAAACATTTTCTTCTAAATTTGACAAAAATGACTAATTATTGTCAAATTTCAAACAATATTATTGTTTATCGCAATAATTTCTGAGACAATTAATCGCCCAGCAAAATTTGTTATGGTGACAGGCCTAGTGTCCGACCTAATCAGTGTCATGTCTGAAGTCATATACGTCTGCTCTATTCTATGCCCTGTGGGGGTTCTGCAGCTCTACCTGCCTCGAGCTCTCTAGGTATGCATAGGCCTGTCACAATAACAAATTTTGTTGGGCAATTATTTGTCTCAGAAATTATTGCGATAAACGATAATTTTTTTAAATTTGACAATATTAGTAAGTATTGTCAAATTTAAGAAGAAATGTTTGTTAATTTGTTTTGAGTGCAGTACCTTTTTTGACCACCAGATTGCAGTATAAGACTGTTTGAATTGAAGGATGGATAGTGAGGGAGCGAACAGTGTGTCTATTTAAGAAAAATGGGAGGGAGGCCTCTTGACGTGACATGGGTTGTTTCTCCTTTTTTTCGGTTCTCAAAATGGCGGCCGCTCGGTGTGCTTTGAGCTCTTTAGCATTTTTCACACAAAGCTTTTAATAAAAAAAAATCAGTCAACAAGTTCTCAGCTTCTTTTTGCAGAGAAAAACAACTTTTTACACAAAGTCTAAAAAAGTTAAATCTGGTCCTCTGGACATTAAAAAAATGTTTTGTTTTAGGGTTTTTTAATGGCCAGAGGACCAGATTTAACTTTTTTAGAATTTTCTACCTGGATTATTGAGCATGCATCAGGATATTTTTACACGAAGGCACGGGTTTCAACCGTGATTTTGGAGCTTCGACAATACGAAGGTTTTTTTTTTTTACCGAGGTCGGCCTGTTAACTTAGCTCGTAGCTTAGCTTCTCAACTTAGCTGCTTTTAACAATCCAAAAATGTGATTTTGGATGGTTAAAACAGATTTAAAAGATAAAAGAGAAAGGGAGGGGTCAGTGAAGAACCGGAGTTGAGCCTTTTGTCATCGAGTGTCTTCAGTAGAAAGAGAGAGACACGAAGAAACGATAAAGCCGATAAATGAAAATGAGGTCGATAATTTTCATTTATCATGCGATTAATTGATTTATTGTTTATCATGACAGGCCTAGGTATGCATACGGAAGGCATACGTATAGCCAAATATAAATCACTGCCAGTGGAACAAACCTCTTCAAACTGACTGAAGAACCTTATTTTTAATGGGAAAAAAGGCTTTTGAAACATAAAATAAATGAATGTTCAACAGAAAAATAACAGAACTCCCTCAGTTATGGAACAAAAAACGTTTCTAGATCGAAAAGTGGTCCAAAGGAAAAACAAAACACCAGGCGTTAAATGTAGGTGTTGCTGCCAGTGTGTGGCGTAATGTAGAAAAAGACGACACTGAGACACTGACAGGCTCCCTGAGGTGTCCCTGTTAGCAGTTTTCCTGTTTACTGAATTTTTGTTCACAGTTCAGCGGTAAGTCCTGCTGCCCTATAAGTGATGCACCCCCCAGTTTTGACAAGGCTGGTGGCGTTTTTATGTCTTGCTGATAAGCTTTGTTCAAACGAGCCCTCCCCGACAACGTAACGCTCGCATCTCTCTCATCCCCGGGATTTCTTTTGTACTATGTTGTTAGAAAATCAACAAGCTACCTTCAGTTTTTGCCTCGACTCAATCCTTATTTAGTATATTTTTGAATGCTTAGATCTATTGTTAAAAAAGCTATTGTTATTTAACACACAAAAAATGTGTTGATGGTTATAAATTATGAATTGTTTCCTCGTTTTTGGAAAAGTGTTTTAAGACCATCACTTTTGAACAACAGCTGCTGCTACGATATCAGAGCGCCTCAACGATGATTATGAAACGAGATGCACAAATAAATTAATCAGAAATGAAGCCTGCGAGTATCGGAGCTGCTTTATTAATTTGTCTCCTGCTGGCACCGTGTGCACGAAACACGTTTCTGAGATTTAATTAATTATTCCTGAAATGCACCTTCAAAGTAATAGTTAACTATTGTATAACGTTGGGCAGCTGCGCTTGTAATTAGAAATTTATTTTCTAAGAGAAAAATAATAAAATTATCTTCTGAACAAATTAACGATATTACTATCCAAGAGTAAAATGTAAAAAAAATCAGCGCCATCAATGAAAGGATGATTTCATCATTTTCTCTGCAGAGGCCGCTGCTTTCAGCCAGTTCAAGTTCTCGCCCTAAAACCCAAGTCTCTGCCGCTCCCGTCACTGACCTGCGAGGAGAAGGTGAGGTTGCAATGGGTGAACGCTTTCTTCATGGCGGTCACAGCCACGCCCGCGTAGCCACTCCATCTCATGTTCTGCAGGGTGGAGGAGGAGAATGAGGAGAGCTGGATACAGTAGGTGCACATATGACAGGAGTAAGAGAAGTGATTAATCTGGACTGCTGATTCAGGCAGGATAGTGGAGGGAGGTCTAATTTAGTCGCGTTTCAGGGTTAGGGGACTCGCTGACTAAAAAAGTGCATTTAACCTCGATGACAGTCCAGGAATGGAGGCTTGGACCCCATAAAGATGCACTGAAGAAGCTCCTGAATGCAACATAATTCAAACTGTGCGTGTGTCAGAGCAAATCAGTTCACTGTGATAAAAATCCATTAAACTATGGGGTGCTGTTTGTAAAGTTACACAATAAAAAATTAACAGCAATATTTTGGTTTATTTAGCCTTTCTTAAGAAAAAAATTTTTTTTAAGTCAGATTTTCACCATGTTATTCATACATTTATAAATGTCATAGGTCCAAACTAAATATTTAATTTACAAGGTAAATATTTAGTTTACAAACTAAATACTTAACTTGCAAGTTACTTATTTAGTTATTGAAGTAAATATTTAGGTGTAAATTAAATAGTTAATTTCCAAGCTAAATATTTATTTTCAAAACTAAACATTTAATTTCTAAGCTAAACATTTAAGTTCTAAACTAAATATTTGATTTGCTAATTCAACATTTAGCTCAGACCTAAATATTTATTTTCCAAGCTAAACATTTAATTTCCAAAATAGTTAATTTGCTAACAAAATATTTAGCTCGGATCTAAATTTAACTTGCTAGTGAAATATTTAACTTACAATTTAAGTATTTGGGTCTGAGCTAAATATTTAGTTAGCAAATTAAATATTTTTTTGTAAATTAAATGTTTAGCTTGGAAAATAAATATTTAAGTCAGTGTAGGAATTAAATGTTTAGCTTAGAAATTAAATGTTTAGTTTTGAAAATAAATCTTTAGTTATGAAATTAAATATTTAATTTACACATAAATTTACTTCCATAACTAAATATAACTTGCAAGTTAAATATTTAGTTTGTAAATTAAACATTTAGCTGGGACATAAACATTTAGTTTGAAAACTAAATAGTGTGGAGCTAAACATTTAGTTTGCCAACTAAATATTTAACTTGCAAGTTAAATATTTAGTTTGTAAACTAAATAATTACCATGTAAATTAAATATGTAGTTTGGAACTATGACATTTATAAATGTATGAATAACAAGGTGAAAATATGACTTTGGACAAAAACAAAACCTTTTTTTCTTATGAAGGCTAAATAAACCAAAATATTGCTGTTAATATTTGACTGTGTAACTTTACAAACGGTACTCCATATTAAACTTGTTAGACAAAGACTTAACGTATTCCAGATTTGCATAAATGTTTTAAACCACTAATTGTTTGGCTGCTGAGTCAGCATTTAAACTCTAGTTTTCCCGTTTACACAGTCCTCTAGAAGTTGTCCTTTTGCAACTTTTATAATTTTCAAAAATGTTTTTCTACATTTAAAACAAATTTGCCCACAGAAATACACAGAGATTTCTTCAGTTTCCTTAGAAACAATGTTTTTTTTAATTATTTTTTTTATAGATGAATAGAATAAATAAAAAAAAGAAACAATGTTCTCTTTGAAATCTGCTTCAACAAACAAGTTCTGCTTTTGTCCTTTTATTCAGTTTTGCTACTTTTTGCTTGAAATCAGGTCTTGAATCCAGGACCTTCTTGCTGTGAGTCAGTAGTGCTAACCACTAATCCACCATGCTGCCCATATCATTTACTGTACATTAAGGTTTCTGTTAAGAACTGAAAATTATTTTGTCGCTTCTAAATTACCGTACTTTCCGCCATACACGTCGCACCGCCGTATAAGTTGCATCAGTCCAAATATGTCTAATAAATTGGGGGGGGTGGGGGGGGGGGTGTTGCTTTGCCATATAAGTCGCATTTATTATGTGCCACAGCGCTGACCACCTGGAAACGTGGGCTGGTGTTGTGCCAAAAATTGATTGGCTGCCAAATGGCGGCTGTGGGAGCGTGCACGGGAGGACTTTAACCAGAATTTAACAAGAGTAACACTTAAAAACAATTGTTTGTTTGCTCATATTTATAGTAAAGATGTGTCTCAGTTTAACTTTTACTTAATAAATGCACTTTAATTGTCAAATCAGCTGCATTTCACCTGGGCGGTGCGGTGAAATGCAGCTGATTTGACGTTTGCTCCAGGAGTTCTGGAGCGAGACGAAGGTGGCTTGGTATGGCAAGCCAAGTGTCTCACTAATATCCACTTTGACTTATTAATGAGACACTTGGCTTGTCATACAACTCGAGTGCCCTCTAGCGGCGGAAAATGGTAGTGTTCAATATTTTCCAAGTCCGAATGAATGAAATCATCAGATCTCAAACAAAAATTGGGTTATAAATATGGGAAAATAAATAAATAAATAAGTTGTTTTGGCATATAAGTCACAGGACATGCAAATTTATACAAAAAAGTGCAACTTATACAGCAAAAAGTACGGTACTTTGAGTGTAACAAACTGTACTCCCTTCACTATTTTTCATGGATTCGAATGAAAAAATGGCAACAATCTGTGTCTGTGACAAACCGATCGTAACAAAGTGAATGACGATGCAATTTAAAAAGTGTTCTTTGCTACATTTATGGGTCCACAAAGACTGGTTTTATTTTATTAACATTTCACAAGTTGGAAAAAAGTGGCTAAAAAACAAATGGCAACAAAAATACATTATTCTGCAAAGGTATGCGACTAAAAATGAGTACAACAGCAGCTAAAACAAAGAAAAATATTAATATCTGATCATATTTGATCAAGACAACTTGAAGAGAATTTCAAAAGTCTGGATCCTGAAAGGCAAAGAGTAAAGAAGTTAAAGGTGTTGCATTCCTTGAAGTAATCCTCGCCTCTTATCGCCATTTGAGTTCTCACCTAAGATCATCTTCTGCTAAGAAACGATGAAGTTGTTGCCCCTTTAGTTAAACCTTGACAATACTGCGAGATGCCACATTCACGACATACATAATAAACTCCTCTCAGCTCATTGACCTCATCTTAAATTGGTCCGACTCCAAAAGTTAATAATCCAGTGATTAATTTCTGCAGGTGTCATTAAAAGCTGTCCAGATGTTTATGAGATGTGTTGGTTAAAGGCACACATGCACAGGCACGAGCAAAAAGACTACCGCCCACTTTTCGCCTTTTGGCAACGAGCAATAAAATGGGATGGTTCAAGACTTTTGCACGCTGCTCTATACGCCACGCTGAAGCAGATTTGCTACAAAAACGGGCCCTTATGTTTTGATTGTCTTCCATGACTGTGTCTGCGTGCACATGCGTGACTGTGTTTAGTTTGTCTTCACGCTGAGACTTACCGTTAAGCCGGAGCTCGGCTGGCTTTTGCTGTAGGGGGTAAACTTGGGTTTGGGTGGTTTTCCAGCCAGCCTGTCCTTGTGCCTTCTGCTGTTCATGTGCTGCAGAGACCAGCAGAAACACCGTTAGCACGCTCACGAGCATCTGTCGCACCACAGCGGAACAACTTCAAGGGTTGCCGCCGAGTGATGGATACACACCGAGCGAGGCAGAGGCGCGCAAAAATGACATCCATTACTTTGTGAGGCTGCCTGCTCGGCTCCGCCGGCTGCAGTTCTCAGAGGCTTCTGTCCTCCTGCGGTGGGGGACGTTTATAAAAGACTCAAACAATCTGGGCGCTCACACAACAGCGTATTCCCTGTTCTTCCACTTTCTGTTCCAGCATCTCTTAAGACTCACAGAAACAGCATTCCTTGAAGGAGGGACAATCACTCACTGCCTTTCGTGCCAGAGCGACATCATCTTATTACGAGTTGTAGCCATTTTGGTCAAACCGTGAAAACGTTATGCACCGTCTCATGGGATATTGCGAGATATGTGTGTGATGTGTATGGATGACGCTCAGCTACGACCTCACAGAGTTTTAACTGAACGTCTGTAAAACTGACAGAGTTATACCAACAAAGTCCATGCTCAATAATCCAGGTATACAATCCAACAATTTTCAGTCAGGTCATCTGGACGGTTTCTTTTTTTTTTTTTGTGCTGAAACTTTTCGCCTTCCATCCAGAAGGCTTCATCAGTCAAGGAAACACACTTTGGAGTAAGCTGTTGGGGGAAGAATCAGTTTAGTGTTTCCTTGACTGATGAAGCCTTCTGGATGGAAGGTGAAACGTTTCAGCACCAAAAAAGAAACTGTCCAGATGACCTGACTGAAAATTGTTGACAGAGTTATAGTTTGGATTCTCTCTGGCGCCGTCGTAGGTCGACCTCGGCACCCTTCGAGAGTGTTTACGGATCTCACCAGAGGGAACGGACCGGTTCTTATCAGAACTCGTACCGTGCCTCTGGAGTGTCCTTGGACACGCTCACCGCTCTTGTCATCCTCCCCTCCCCTCCAGAATGTCTGCGTCACTATGCGCAGGGTGTTTTTTTAATATCAGGCTCTCTCTCCTCGGCCAAGGAGTGAGAGTTTGATAAGAATTATTATTTTTGCCTCCAAATCTTCTACGTGTGTCACTTTCATCACTTTGTGTCCGTCTGAACAGGTCTCACTTGTGAATGAGTCTTCGAGGCTCAATGTGATTTATCTGTGTAAATAAAGGTTGAATAAATAAATGAATAGTCATTTTTGTGTTGGCTAATGTCGCTTAGTTGTGGTGGCCATTATGGATTTTGGCGACTCCGAAAGTAAATGAGTAGTAGATGTACTTCTAATCATTACTTTCTGAAAGTGCCATTACAATCTGCTCTGTAGGGCATAAGATATTTTGCTGACAGACAGACAAGGTTGACTCCAACAGTTACTTTTGCTCAGATGATGCTCTGATACTACACCACCACATATTAGCCTAATATTTACCCAACTGGATGATATACAGCCATTTTTGTGTTGGCTAAATTTGCATAGATTTAGCCTCCATTTTCAATATGGCTGACTTCAAACGGTTTTCAGTTGTAACTATTTTTGATGAATACTTTCTGAAAGTTTCATTATAGTCCATGCAGTGGTTCATGAGCTATTTTGCTAACAGACATACACAAACTACGACGAACATCAAAAGCACAGAAATTACCTCCCTAACCTGGTTTGATGGAGATCTCTCCAGACAAAACACAGAACCCATTATAGTTTGCGATAATAAGTGGCAAATAAACGCCCGCTCGCTGAGCACTTTGTGTTTGATGCTATCGGTTGAAAAATAGCAGCTTAAATGTACCTTGCGCTCCCAGCCTGCTTTGGCTTCATTCATGCGGCTGTAAATGAAACTGCTGCTCATTATTAGGCTCGCACACACTTCAAGCTAATGTTATATTTATCTTTTCTGGACGAAGTGCGGTCTTAAAAAAATCCATCACTTCAATCCTTCCCTTCAGCGTTCGTCGTGCTGATCATTTCGTACGGCAGATCGCATCGTGATTTAATATTCAGCGTGAAACTCCTGGTGTCTGAGGCGATTGATAACTATCAGTGAGCAGCTTTGTTTTCTGATTCATTCTGCGGCCACGTCGTCTTTCTCTTTGCAGATGAGGAAGTGGTGAGCAACGTTTTCTCGCAGCGCGATTGGACCGGAGTCGTTTCCCCTGCAGAGCCTTTCAGGTGAGCAACGCTCTTACTTTGAAAGGCTTGACAAATCTGTAGTACTTCTCTCCTTGATAGTCACAGTTTAAACATGCAGTATAATGTAAATAGTTCATTTTACCTGGCTCAGTTGGGTCTGGGAGTTCACAACGATCTCACACGCTTCACACTGGAAGTTCTTGCTGGGCACGCCTTTGCTGCCTTTGCTGCCGAGCCGCTTGCTCTTGCAGCCGCCTCGAGCTGCCACCACTTTCCCCCTGCGTCGAGGCAGGACGGCGTGACCTTCCAGCATCAGTTTGTGCTTTGTGCCTGGTACAGAGAGCACAGCTTTTATTTTCTACACAACTAATAGCTCTGAGGCCAGAATTTCTCCTGCAGATGGAAGAAGCTTTTGAAAACATTTTGCTTCAAAGAAGTGTCGGGTCACGCTCATACCGCTGTTATGTGCGTCCAGCTGGGAGATGGAGTTCATTGTGACTTTACAAACAGGACAATGCAGGTGAGCTTTGCTCTTTTTGGGCTCTTTGTCGTCGTCTGCATGCGGATCCCTGTTTGACGAGTCTGAAAGGCTGCGGGACTCGATGCTCAGACTTATGACCTTTGTGACCTTTGTGACCGCTGTGACCTCTGTGATCTCCGGGGCGCTGGTGTCTGACGCCGACTCGGAGAGCTGCGAGAAAGGTGAAATCTGAGGAGGGGACAGGGTGACCATTTCCACAGAGGAATCCTCGGACACTGGTGTCAACATGACCGAGCTCCTGGGACTCTCCTCGTGCTTCCTCTCCAGGATGGCGAGTTCTCGACTCGACTGAAGTCCTGCACCAAACAGACGATTGTTAGACAACATTACACCCTTTTATGATGATTTTATATTTTAAGACCTTCTAATCCAAGCAATTTCACATTTTTGTGGAAAAATATGTGCTGCAATTAATGTTTAAAAGCCTAGCATTTCTTACAATACAACTTTATTTATAAAGCACTTTAAAACAACACAGTTGGCCCAAGTGCTGTACACGAACACATACAAGCATAAAGACCATAAAATCAACTTATACCATAAAAGTAATGAACTGAAAAACAGCAAACAGTTAAAACAATAAAACAAATAACTTAAAAACAGTGAAACCAACATTTCATCATTTCTTGACTCGCTACGTTTAATGTCAGAGTTTCACACACCGACGTTGAGAAATGACCGCGCTGTAGCTGTTTAGGTCAAACTGTTACCTCAAACCATGTGTTGCAAATGACTCTCAGCCACCACCAAATCAAATTTTAGCTCAATATCTGTAAAATCTAAGGAATTATAATAATTTTTGTGTCGTCTAATATCAATCAGCTGAAGCAACCGTCTTAACTTGGATTTAAGCCAAAAGTTAATCAGTTGTAAAAGCACGTCAAATGATTACTTTCTGGGAGTTTCAATAAAATTCCTCCAGTGGTTCATGAAATATTTTACTAACAGACAAACAGGGTTGACTCCAGCAGGAGATGCTGACATTTTAACCAAAGATCTTGCACACTGAGTCACACTAAGGAGTTTGTCTAACAAAGTTAAGTCAGGTCCTCTGGACAGATGATAAAATAAAACGAATTGTTGAAACATTTCGTCTTTTATCCAAAGACTTCTTCAGTCTGAGGAGCTGCACTAAACTCAGTCTTATAAATAGCACCTTCTCATAGTGGATCAACCAGTTTGCTGGTGACAGCCAAAACTACTGTATTTTTCAGACTGTAAGGTGCATTAAGTGAAACAAAACGGTCAGATAAGTCAAACTTTATTCAACTCATTCACAATTCATTCAACCTTTATTTGGACAGGTAAATCCCGTCTAATAACAATAACCACATAAAATCAGTTTGAGGTCGGTAAGCACAACCAGAATTAATACATGAGGCGCACCGGATTATAAATCTCACTGTTGATTTTTGAGAAAATTAAAGAATTTTAAGTGCACCTTATAGTATGAAAAATACGGTAGCTGTTCACATGATAAAGGACTATCAGCCTAATGGCCGACCGTTAGTGCCCTGATGGCCGCTTGCTATTTACAGAGGGCTGAGTGATACAGCATTGTAAGATCTTTCAGATCGGAGGCAATGTGTTCAACATAATGGTACTTCCTCAAGTTATTTAACAGTCAAAAATGGTGTACCACAAGGCTCAGTCTTAGGACCCACCCTCTTTACAATCTACATAGGTAACGTAGGTCAGAGCATCCTTGATGCATCCATACATTTCTATGCTGATGACACAGTTGTTTATTGTCGAGCTAAAACAGTTGATAAGGCTTTCCAGCTTTTGCAATCTGCATTCAACATCATCCAGACTGATTTGTTCCGCCTCAAACTTGTCCTAAATGCTGACAAAACCAAAGGGATGCTTTTTCAAACAGGAAGTTGGTCCCAGCAGTTCTTCCTCTGATCTCATCCTCAAATGGTGTCCCCGTTGAGTTTGTTGATTCCTATAAATATTTGGGTATCTTGTTCGACTCACATCTCTCTTTTAAGCTCCATGTGGAAAACTTGATCAAGAAACTGAAAGTTAAACTGGGTTTCTTTTTCAGAAACAGATCCTGTCCAACTGAATGTTAGGAAACACCTTGTATCTGTGACTTTCCTTCCCTCCATTGATTATGGTGACATTATTTACATGAACGCTCCTACAAGAACCCTGCAGATGTTGGATGCTGCAGATGTTGGATGCTGTCTATCATGGTGCACTAAGATTCATAACTGGCTGTAACTACCGTACCCACCACTGCACCCAGTATTCACTGGTTAACTGGTCACCATTAACTCCACACAGACTCTCTCACTGGTACATCTTCATCTTTAAATCACTTCCTGGTCTGCTGCCTTCATACATCTCCTCCTACATGTCTCTGTGTGAGTGCAGCTACAGCGTGCGCTCTCAGGACATCATTACCTGCAGTGTCCCCTCAGTGAGGACTGAACTAGACAAAAGGGCCTTCTCCTACTCCGCTCCTGTTTCCTGGAATATCTTACAAAAAGATCTGAAGCTCTCGACCTTTGACCTCTCTAAGTGGCTTTAAGAATCTGTTGGACACCTGGCAGAGACCAATGCAGACATGTTCCTGTTTTTAGTTTTATACATTCGTCTTATAATCCAGCTGTTTTTGTTACTTTTTTTTGGCCATCTTATTTTAATTTGAAAAAAAAAAAAAAAATCTGTATGTCTCTTTTATGATCGACTATTGTTGCTGTTGTCCATTGTTGCCATCATTCTTTGTTGAAATCAGGTCTCACCTGTAAATGAGTCCTCGAGGCTCAATGGGATTTACCTGTAGAAATAAAGGTTGAATGAAAAAGAGGGGGACATTTGGACACGGAGGCCTTCGCCCTTGTTTAAGGAGGGGCCCCGTTCCTTTACTAAGGCGTTTGTGTTGTGTATGACTCCAAGCTACAAGAACACCAAACTTGAGCTCAATGGAGCACATTTTGGTCATTTTGGTGTTTTCTAAAGTGAGCTGGCTGTGTCCGCCTTTGTCTTTCAGCGGTGGGCGATAATAAAACTTCTAACTTCTACATGTCAGTTACCTCAACTCCACGCAGAATAAAACAATTTATCTCTTAATATTTTAAAGCATTGTTAACTTGATAAAACATGGACGTCATGTTTTTTTGTTATGAGAGTTGGTGGGAGAGATCATATTTCTCCAGTTTTAGCTTCTCTCCATCGGCTCCACGTCAAAATCAGAACTGAATTCAAAATCTTACTTCGAACCTACAAAGCCCTCAACAACCTAGCTCCATCTTATATTACAGATCTTATTGTTACATATTTTCCTAACAGAGCACTTTGCTCTCAGGCTGCAGGCTTACTTGTGGTTCCTAGTTTCCAAAAGCAGAATGGGAGGCAGATATTTCAGTTCTCAGGCTCCTCTCTTGCGGAACCAACTTCCAGTTTCTGTCCATGAGGCTGACACATTGTCCAGTTTTAAGATTAGCCTAAATTCTTTTTGATAAATTCTATAGTTAGGGTTGGCTTGGGTTTCTGGAGCTATCCCTTATGCTGCTATAGGCTCATACTGCTGGAGGACAAACTGACCACATTTCCTCACTCTGCTGCTGTCTGTACTTGCTCTACTCTGCCTGGTTTCTATTTGTAATTATTTCTATCCTTGACAGGTTTTTGTCTTTCTTCCGATAGGGGGTACACCTGCACCTGCACCTGGACCTGTCATTCTGTGTGTGGTTCTCCTTCCTGTTCCTCTCAAAACCAGCCGGTCAAAGCAGATGGCCGCTCGTCCTGAGCCTGGTTCTGCTGGAGGTTCCTTCCTGTTAAAAGGGAGTTTTTCCTTTCCACTGTCTCCTTTGTGCTTGCTCAGGATAGGAGACTGCAACAAAGTGAAGATTCAACCCATCTGCTGGCGTCCTTCCTCAGATAGATAACTTTTTACTTCTGTATGTATCTGAATGTTTCCGTGCAGTGCCCTAAGATGCCTTCTGTTGTGATTTGGCGCTACGTATATAAATAAACTGAAATGAACTGAAATGAAAATGTTAAGAGTTAATAGCATCTGCATTCCGTCTTAGCGGCATTTGCATTTGCTCTAGGAATATATGTGCCCTTCCTCTCTTTCCCCTCCCTCACCTTCATTCACTCCTCAAATATCAAGTGGACCAGAAGTCTCAGTCAATATAAACAAACCCATCGACTTTCAGGTCCCACTGATAAGTCACCGAAGCTCCATTACACACAACCCCCTCACCCCCGATGGCCTCCCGTGGGAGTCGCACACACTTCACCCCCAGAGCTGTGCGCGCTGCACTCGCTGCATATCTCCACTTCATTTACTGAGCTGTCCCGCACACACACAGAGCCCTCCCCGGTGCAGCCGGTGCTCCATTGATTTTCTTTAACATCTCAGAGTAAATTCATCACTGGAGATAAGGTTCTTCCTTTCTCATTCCTGCTCGGGTAAAAGAAACTATACAGGAGCAAGATTAGGCAGACCCCCTGGCTGTAACGAGAGTGACCCCTGACGGGTTTGAGCTCTGTTTATTTTGGGAGGGGGTGTACAGGTATCCTGAACGTATGGGAAACACAGGCCCACCTGAGAGGTCTCCAGAGAGAAGTGGGTTTACAGACATGGAGGTTAGCAGGAATCAAAACGCTTGGAAATTCAATGACTGAGATCAAAGGGAAGCAATTTAGAAAATTATTTTAAATGCTGAGGTTCAGGTATTTTTATTCTCAATATTTTTGAGTCAAAACAGCATCTTTACTTTGTGCAAATTATACCTTTAATAATCAAGTTATTAATAGACAAGTTAAATTCATTCATAAAGATAAAATATTAAATGATCTAGAATCATATTTTTGTGCTCAAATTTGGACAAAATTAGATTTTTTTTTTTGTGATGGACTTTATTTTCTTTCATTATTGCCATGACTTTGATCAATCCTTCGTCAGTGATCATTCTTGTCTTGCGGCTGTTTATATCAGGAGTCCCTAAATGGCAAACTGTGGTCCAGATCAAATGAAGCCAAACCTGGACCCAGATCAGTTGTTACATTTACACAAACACATTTCCTGGACCTTTGTATCGAGAACAATTTCTTTGGCGGATCTTGCAGGTTTTTATTGAACCCACTGGTCTGTGATTGCAGAAACTGCCACCAAATCAGGCAAAACTGTCAAAACAAAGGGCGGCGTATTGGCAGCAGGTCCTCTGTGGAGCAGAACCAGACACCTTGAGGGCATCTAGATAAATATTGTGCAGACAATCTGCAGTATTTTTTTTTTATCATGAAAAGAATTGAATTTATGTTTTCAACAGTCCAG